TACATGATCACACCATGTTATAGGTGAAAGTGAAACGCTTGCATGATGATTGAAGTATCACATTTGGCATGTTTGATAGATTAGATTGAATTTTATGATTAAATATGGAGAGTTTCTTTAGTATTACTATGCTTTAGTGTGACAATATACCTAAATGTTCCAACTAAATCACCCTCCCTCCTCCTCACCATCGAAATGTCACAATACTCCCAACACCAGATCCAGTATAGATCTACAACATATTTGAAATCATCTCCATGACCACAAACTTAAATGTGTGCCAAAAATAAAACACGCACCCCACGCCACCCCTCCCCAGCGGGCCGCCAGAAGGGCTATAACTTCTGCACCAGAACCTTCCAACCCCATCCCACTCACCTACCCTATTATCCCCAGTGGTGACATCACCATCCTCTATGTCTTCTAGCCCTAACCGACACTTGTCCATCCTCTAGATCCATGGCGATGATACCGCGGTCGCCTCGTCGTTCCACCGCTAACAAGGCTCCAAAGAGGTAGATCTAGATCTTCAAAAGTCACAACCCTTTTTGGTCTTCCATCCTCTTTTGCCGCCACCATCGTTGTCGCCGCTTAGATTGCAATTAATCCTCGGTTCTCCATAAATTGGTACCTATTTTGCAACAATTTTCAACAAGGAGGAGAAGAAGAATTCTCACAGGTACTCTTCCATTGGAGATTTTGTGAATTTCTTAATCATGGAGTTGGTCTCTCCCCAAAAACCTTGATAACTAACTAATATTGGTTGTTTTGTGTTCTTCACGCAGGCACCACCAATGAATCCCCTGAGTTTGCTCCTACCAGAAGCAAGGCGGTGTGCCGGTGATGGTTGCACATCTGGCCCCCGGACCTGGCCCCTACAGTACGCTCGCCACCAAGGCGTGCTCTGTCGCCTCTGCTGTTCCTGTCTACTCCTCTCCCGCCGTTCCTTGTACTGTTGTTGTTGCTTCCAACTCCTCAATGATGACTCGTCTTCTGACAACGACGACCCTATCATCTCCCCGGATGCGCCTACCGTCCCCTGCATTGTCTGTCGCAAGGCCATCGCGCACTTCTCATGTATCCACTCCCCCAGCGATGTGTTCCTCTGCCCCGCCTGCAAGGCGGCTGCTCTTGGGAGGCCCTTCTCATACATGCCGTCCTCCATGGCGTTGCTCGACATGCAAGGAACACAGGTCATATTGTTGTCCACTAAGATAGCGCTCCAACTGTTGAAGGCGGAGGCTAGCCAAATGCGTGTGTTGGGGGAGCGGATGGCAGTTGAGTCCATGGAAGCGCGGAAGCAAGCGTACCACGCACTCAGCATGGCCTTCGGCATAGACCATAATCCACCCTCTGTGAACGAACACATCTCATCACCTGAGAACATGCGCCCCCAAGGCGGCGAGCTGCACATTGACATGATGAAGCTGGACCTAAACGAGCCTCCACCAACTTCCCCAGGCATGCTTGCAGTCGGCACTGAGGGTGTCCACGGAGGAATGGCAATGGCTTCCAACTACGAGCCCACATTGTCTTCCATGGCCATGTTTACACTTGGCAACGAGAATGTATGCGAGGAATTTGAAGTGACTTCTCGCGAGTTCACACTACAAATGTTCTGGAAAGACAATGATGAGGCGAAGGATGATGATGAGGAGTAATCAAGTATGATGCTCAAACTAGAGCCACTTTAAAATTTCCATTTACTTGTTACACCTAGACATATTTATACTTATCTTATAATATATCAGTGGTTTTTATTCAAGTATTGCGGTCTATGACCTAGAGTCATAATGTTGTTCTTGGTGAATTGCTAGTCAATATAGCAATGTTCATCTTGTGCAGCCCAGGTTTACAATATGGGCATGCCATGTTTCAGTTAGTTTTGTTGCCATATCAGCATTGAACAATGTATTGGGCTCCAGCGGCCTATATCCTGCTACCTGGAAATTGTAAACTTGCTAAACTTTCAACTTGCACTTTGTCAGTTTGAACTGTTGTATGTTCTCTAAAATGTTAGCGTGCACTATTTCTAGTTTGGAAGGAAGATTCGAGGTGAGACAGGTTTCAGCCGTCTAGTTGCCTCTGGCGGCTGTGCACACGCAGTTTTGACATAAGTAGGGCCGGCATAGAATGCACAGCGGGTGTCGCATGATATGGCATCACGTCGTAGCTTAGCTCTTATATGAATAAACTAGATCAGTGATGGCACTCTGTGCCGCCCATCTATTTTGACGATAGAATGGCAGTAATTTGCAACAAAGCATATTATACTTTGAGCATGATGTATACATGATCAACTATTCAACTTATGAAATCCTGAGAGTTTGCTTGTGCTTCTAGCCAAATAATGTTTCAAGATAACACTTTTCGTGCATAGAACTGCTCACAACTTGCAAAGTCTAATACACATAAGCATACATGATCAAGAATCAGTGGTCTTTCATTCCAGAGCTAGCACATGCCAGAAAGATCCACGAGATAAAAATTCAGCAAAACATGACATTTCTAGATTTATTCAAAGAATATGCAAGAAAGTTAGACCAACATGTAGATTTTGAGAGTAAACTAATTGATTTATAAGGCATATAAGATCCTTTTTGGACCCATTCAATTGGTTTCAAGTCTACATTCGAAAACAGAAAATGGACTGCAAGAGCGTACAATGGTAAAATCGATGTAAAGGGAACCTGTCAAGATTCACTGTCAATTGACTCTCGGCTGTTACGTAGTAGCAGCTACGTGCGCTGGTTGTGCACGTCATCTCACATAGTTCCTCTTGTACCTTGAAGTATGCAGATGGTACACACATGTTTAAAAAAATGTATTTACGGTCAAATGGTTTTGTTAATCAGCACACTGCACTTATCGAGTTGTATAAGCTTCATAGTTAGTTTCAAGTAAACTGCAAGATGTAAACTTAAAATAAGATGCCAACAAATACTTCCCTTTTCAATATCAGATTGCTCGAATATCAATGATGTTTTGACAAAGAGAAGTAAACTCTTGGAACGTTTGAAAAACACCAGTTTCCCAATTGCATATAAAGATGTGTGTGCTTCAATCTGGATAGTGCACAATTCTATGCAGGCAGTGTACATTCAAAGGAGCTTAGTAACCTGGAAAAAAAGTATTCTCCATAAAAAAACCTGTAAAATCATAAACTTGTATGCGAAGTCAGGTAATCAATATCGTGTAAGCTAGCCATTGTTGTGATACACAAGACATACAGACCACTTGGTAGTTTGGTGCATCCAAATTCAAATACCAGAAAATGAAGACAGTCATATCAGTTGGCTGGCTTTCTGAATACTCTGAAGAAAAACAGGCGCTTTCGCTGAAGAAAACAGAAAGGAATGCCTGCGTTAGAAGGGCGTCATCTCACTCGACTTGCCTATGCTCTCCACCTGCTGCAACCTGGCCTCGCCCGGCTCGCCTCCTGGATCTGGATCCCCCTTTTGCCGGCACCCGCCTCGCCCGGCCAGCCTCTCCACCTGCGACCTGGCCTCGCCGGACGATCCCATCGTCCTCTCGATGGACGAGGCGACCAAGCGGCGCTCCTGTAATTCTTTTAGGGGATTTTCTTTTTTTCTTTCTTTTTAGCGATCGACCGAGCAGTTCCCAGTCCAGCTAGCTAACGGGGCCTGGGACAGAGGCCCATTGTACCAGAGGGCTAAGATTTTTCCTCGGGACTTTTGGCCCACGAGTTAGCAGATGTGCGGTTCACCGCAGCAAATCTAACGGCTTGGATGGCCGGATCAGGAAAACGAACGGCTGAGATGTGGGAGGGCTGGAACATGGCCCGGTTTTACTTTTAAAAAAAATATAGGTTGAAATTATCCAGAGCGTCCATATCAGTCAGGTAACGAGCTGGCCTCTATTTCACATGCCCTTTCACAATCTTTTTATAAACATATTGTAAACTGAAATCATAGTAAAAATATATCCATTCAGTGGACACCATAAAAAAAATAAAGTACCTTCAGTTTCAGGGTGCAGAGAGTGGTTCATTAGTAGCCAAAGGACATGTCTTGTCATCTTAAAGATAAGTGGCATGAATATAGGCTAGACGGCCTTCTCAGCCAATGAGGACACTCCAATGTTGGAGTGTTTTCTTTTGCATATTAATCAACCAAGACAATCAATTTCAGCCTTAGTTATCACCCGAGACAGCTCTATATCTTAGTTGTGGTTCAAGATGCTATTTGCCAGGGCTCTACTGGCTATAAACCGAGTAGGTATGTAAATTATTCTTTATTGGTAGATTACTGAAAACACAGGTGCGCTGTGAGACACAGTGAGATCTTTGCTTGATTAATTAAGCAGAGGAGAATTACCCAGTTAATTAATGAAAAACCAGGTAAATACCGATACAAACCAACCACATGTGTACTACTCATAAAAGATCAAACCGACAACCACACACAACACGTAACGACCACCAACCTCCACACTACTACATCGCAATGACAACCCCAACAAAAGTAATTCGGTCGAAGACCACATGTACCATCAAATCCACAAGGACAAAGCCATATCATAATAACAACCCAAGAGACTAATGACCATCCATCAAACAGCTGCATACGCCTTTCCTATGGCGCTACTCTTTTTTCCTTTACTCTTGATAGCCTCCTCCACAATCACCTTGTCAAATTGAGGGCTAGCCGTCTTCAAACGTGTGAGTAAACTGTGAAGTTCTATCTGAAAGAGAATCTCATCGACCTTGTCACGCATAGAAACCCGCCAACAGTCACATGCGAGCTCGGGAAGAGTTGTGGTGCCTCCCCTTGTTCTATGCCTCTTCCGCCGACCTCTCGTCGTTGAAATATCTGATCACTTCATTTTCAAGTATCTCGGGGTTTTAGAACTTTGTATCAAAGAGGCCACCGGAGTCTCTTGTTGATGTTTTACTCGAACAGATTCCTACGATCTCAGATCGTACATCCATTTGATTTTGACACTCTCAAGATGACCCGTCAGCGGTGACCACGCTCCAAATGTTTACCCGGCCACGTCATTTGGACCCACCAGTCATACGCATGTTTTTTTAGGGGATCATACGCATGCTGATACAGTACGAGATACGCATCTTGTGTAGCGTTCGGCCTCTGTTTCCCCTCCCTTTTTGCAGCTGTCACCGGCGGCGGCTACTCTACTCTCCCCGCATGGCGTCGCCTCCTCCGCCGGCTCCCGCCGCCGCGGCCGCCCACAGCGTGTTCGTCTACGGCACCCTGATGGCGGAGGAGGTCGTGCGCGTCCTCCTCGGCCGCGTCCCGCCGTCCTCCCCCGCGCTCCTCCCCAACCAGTACGTGCGCGCGTGCGTCCTCCGCTCCACTCCTCCCGGTGTTCGTCCTGTGTTCCCCCTCTCCATCTGCGCCCCCTGTCGCTCTTCTCACGTTGCTTTTGTCGCAGCCAGAGGCTCAGCATCAGGGGCCGCGTCTACCCGGCGATCCTGCCCGTCGACGGCAGCAAAGTCCCCGGGAAGGTGCGCGCAATCCCACACACATCGCGTATGCCTGGTGTTAATTTTCTTAGTTTGGCCGGTGCAAGTTAAGATGTGAGAAATGGCGAGTACTGTCAGTATGGGACGGTTGAAGTGCAGAACGAGTGACAATCTGTTCTTGTGTCTGTGCTGCAGGTTTGGAAGGGGATCACTGACAGGGAGCTCGATGTGCTGGACATCTTTGAGGATGAGGAGTATGTCAGGGAAACTGTTGGTATCTTGCTGACCGTAAGTCCATTCGCCGGCCTAGGTCTCTGCTCCAGTCGATGGTAGCTGGATTCATGCCGAACCGCAAAATTCAGTGGGATGTTCAGTTGAAATCAGTTATCCTGATACCCTTTTTAATGATTGTGCCCTCTGTTTGGAGGGAGAAAAAGCATGATTTTCGTTTTTGTCTTTAAAGGCATGCAGATATTACTGCTATCAACTGGTTTTGTTCTATCGTGAAAGATCACTTTTCGTTTGGCACCTTAGAGAGCAATTCTTCACTAGACTGTTCCACGGAAACAGGATTGAGTACTTTGGGTTTGCAGGATTCGGCGGACACGATGGTCGCCTACGCATACATATGGGGGAATGTGGATGATCCTGACCTCTATGGTGAATGGGATTTTGATGTGAGTATTTCCCTTCATGCTAATCTTGAGCATTTTTTTGTATAGTGAATGAAAGGCAGACAAACACCGCCGCTATCTGACTCAGCGCATGCACCAATCTGATGATGCTATGAGAAGGCAAAGCTGTTGCAGCATATGTTTATCAAATTACACGTATAATGCTACTATTTGTTAAACAGTCTCCATTTGCTCAGCTGATACGAATTCTGATACGAAGAATAACATCACTAATTTACCGTGCTTGATTTAATGAAGTTCTGAGTATGCCACTATGTGCTGCTCACCGGTATATGCTGTTTGGCAATGTCTTGCTCTCTTCGGTTTTCTGGGACATGTTTCCGTAGATCCATTCAAGCACTGACCTGTATACTATGTTGTATCTGTAGGAATGGAAGAAAGTGCATCTGAAGGACTATCTCACAATGACACAAGATTTCAAGGAGGAACTGGAACAGCTTGAATCTGAGACACATGACTGAAGCTTGCCAATCATTCTTCCAGAAGGATTAATTCGCCAATTTATTGTATGTGCTTTGTTCAACCAGCTCTAATGTGAATTGCAAATAAGATGTTCATCGGATTGCCATCAACCTAGCAAAAAAGAAAATAGTTTTCATATTTTGTGACCATAGACTCGAGGTGTTCAAGTCTATGTTTTTTCTGTGCTTTTTGGATCCGTCAATACTGCTTGAGACACTTGCATGTGAAACAAATTAAACTTGAATTTGTTTTGCGTAAGTTGTACTAGCCCTTTTGCCTGTTTTTGCCATGTGCTGTCATGTTAAAATATTGCCTATGGTATATACCTATCAGTCACACTCTTCATCCCTCTTGATCAATGAACAGTTAACAAGTTCTGTCATAAAATTCAGCCAAAATAAGGGGTAGAGAAAGTCGTACCTACGAAAAACATGTGTAAGAGGTAGTCCTGGCAATAACCAACAAAACTCATCACATTTCCAGTATGCCATGAAAGGCCGACAGGTCCATTTGTGGGATTTAGAACCAAATTTCATATGGGTGTTTGATAAGACCAAACAGTAGAACTACATGTAAGCTTGTTATCGCAGTTTCAATTTTTTTTAGTAAACCTAGCAGTTTCTATTTAGGGATGGTGACCTTGACAAGGGCTACACACAACCCAACAATAGTCCAGTACAAATGTTCTTCCCAAGAACATACTATCTTCAGATTTGCCTAACTGTCTCAGGTCTCTAACAACTCTGGGAAAGTTTTCAGTTCTCATCCCTACTACTCGTTTCAACTGATATAACTACATATATATCCAAAAGAAAACCTAATCTGAGGAGCATTTTCCCTCACAGCTATAAGCTGACGCATCTACACTACATTCTTCACTGCATTTCTTTTGCAGCTTTGATGATGGCTGTAGTACACATGAATCCATAATGGTGAAGACAAATAGTGAATACAACTAACCAAGATGTTAACATGACAACTATGTGAATGCGCCTCTAAGTCATGTCATTCGAATTGGTCATAGGGGCCGATGGAAGGGTTCCCGGAGTTCTGCTCGTAACGAGGCTTCCAAGTATTCCCTCCATCTGAGCTGCTGCAAGCCTGGTTGGGCAGGACATTGCTCCCTAAATCACCATCCAGACTCATCTTCTGCACTTCTTGAGGGGACAGGATCCTAATGCACTTCACACAATTCACAAACTCCCTGCATCATCCACATGAAAAAAATTAGGGCAAGCGATGGATAGAATCTCTCACCGTGAACATTCATGTGCACATCCTATATGCATCAACACAAACTTAGATGTATGAAAAGAGGATAGTGGTACCAAACACAGTCTATTCCAGTTTTTTCTTCCCGTATTTATGTTTCAGTTATGTCAGCATCCTGGATTGATCCTGTTTCACATTTCTAAAGATTTCTACATGTGTCTTTTTGACCAACTTTATTTGGTTCAGACCAGGAAGTTTAGAAATTCACTTAAACACAGGCAGAAAGACAGATGGACTTACTCCCATGGGTCATCGCCGAGAAGTAGGACGTCGTCCTCATGATCTGTGTAGACTAGCTTCCAACCTATTCTCTGTCGGTCTTCAAGTTGCCCCTCTATACCAAACATGCGGGCCAAAGCTTGGTTCAGTTCTCCATATCCAGAGAACCTACCGATGTCAATGGACCGGCCTACAGCTCCACGCTTGTACACCTACAAGACACAGTTTAAGCTAAGATACAGGGGAAGCATACAACAAGGAAAGCATACTAATGAGCATGGCCATACGAGGGCCGGCATTTCCAACTGACCCTTCAACAAGCTTTTAGAGCTCTATGTGCCTATGTGTGACCATCTTCTCATCCACTACACATAGAAGTGTTGTCTTACAACATATATCTCATGCAATCAGTTCTTATCTGAACCATCAACCACCATTTCGAACATTACTACATACAGAATGTAAAATTTTATCTTGGTAAAAAAACTGTAACTTTGCTAAACTATAATTGTTGTTGGTGCATTCCTTTCTTAAAACTTTTTTAAAGGCAATTGCAATGACATTATTTTATAACTAGCTGCTGGATCATAACTTAGTTTTGAGATGGTCATGTTCTTAAAATATCTCAGTGGAGTAATTTTACTATTTGGTAATATAGGCACCACACAACATATACTGCCTTAAAAATCGACTTTCAATAGGATAAGCACATAACAGAAAAAGGAAAACCTTGGTGAATGTACGCATCCTCTGTGGTGGAGCAGCAGGAGGCCAAGAACTTCTGTTCATTAAGGCACCATCATTAATTGCAGAATCAATGGAATTAAAAGCCATATCTGATTGACCAAATGACTGTGAAACCATGGAGGTTGATATCTCTTGACGGGCATCCTTTTGCATCTGGTAGTTGTTCTCATCATCAGTTGAGAAATGATTCTGATACTTCACAGAATCAAGTGCATTTTCCAACAAGCCTTCTGTTTCCATAGGAAACCCTAATGGGCCATCATTGTTCATCCCAAAGAGGGCACTGTTACTAGGATCCACACCTTGAATTTCTACATCAGGAAGTTCATCTTTGAACATCTGGTGCTGGTTGAAGTTAGAAGTGGCGAAACCTTGATGCAGAAGTCCATCTGTTTGTGAAGGCCATAATGAAGTTGCTGACGAAGCTGTTTCCAGGTTGTCTGTTGGCAGTGCATTGTTCATAAAATTTTGAAGGCCGGACACAACATTTGGTAATTTCGAGGTGATCGCACTTGACTTAACACCATTGTTTAACTTTGGCAATTCCTTGGTCGTTACTGGAGTTACTGATACAGCTTCAATGGGGATCAGAATTGACATCTGAGCAATAGAGTGTGGCACCTTCTCTGTGCTGGTTTTGCAATGATCATTCCTGCCAATGGTTGGCTGCGCAAGATGGTTGCCATTAGCTGTGGAAGGGGATGTCGAACAAGAAGGTATTTCCTCTGTAACAGCAGATTGTGCAGCACCAGGAACTATCGTAGCGTTACCAGTTTTTGGGATCACACTGGTAGAAGAGATCTGTGCAAAGGCAGCTTCTGACACATATGTAGGTGCAACCTGTTTCTGTGAAGGCTTCTGCTGTTGCTGCTGTTGCTGCTCTTGCTGAATGGGCGGTGGCAGTTGTGTTGTCTGCAATGAAGAAGTTCTACAGTCCTGTTGGGGCATCACTTGTTGCTGGGCAAGCGAATGCGAATTCGACAACTGCTGTTGCATGTCCACAAGAAAATTTTGCTGCTCTTGGATTATTGGTAATCGTGAGAGTGTAACTGCGGATTGTGACATCAGTGACTGCTGCTGTAGTTTCTGTAACAGCTGCAAGTGGAGTTCCTGATCAGACAATTGTGTTTGCTGACTTGCCAGATTAGCTAGTTGCCCAGGCAACTTATTTAGCTGCTGCTGCTGCTGCTGCTGCTGTAACTGTTGGTGAAGTAAAAGCTGTTGCTGCTGCATTTGCAAATTTTGGTCCTGCAGTTGATGAGACTGAAGCAGGTGCTGGCCACTGGCCCCATGCTGGTTTTGAGTTGGTGATGGTGGTGGTTGTTTTTGTTGCTGTTGTTGCTGCATCTGATTCTGGAGAATTACTTGTGCCTGGACAATATTAGTTTGAGCCTGGGCCTGGCTTAGGGGAATTGCTTGGATACTGGACTGCTGTTGCCTCTGCTGATCTTGCTTCTGATCTTGATGATTTCTGATGGCACTTAGTTGATTCAACGGAAGTGCTGCATTTGACAAATCATTAATAGGTTTCATTTGCTGATGGAGTTTGGGAGGATTAAACTGCATGCTATTCTGTTGTAGTAGATGGTTCTGCATATATAACTGCCTTGCAAGATCGGCAGCGCCAATATTTTGCATCGCAGGGTTACTCGCTGATCGGAGGTACTCGGACTGCATGGCTGTGCTAGCTAATGAGGAGCTCTGCTGCCGGTTCATGTTCATCCACTGAACTAAACTCAGGCCAGGCATTGTAGCGCTCTGGGTTTGAGGGTCCTTTATGCATACCTCCTCACCAAGCCAAGGCATTGCTCTCTTCATAAGACTTTCCATCTCCAACGACTCATCATCTGTTAATTCAAATTTAGAAGAGCACGAAGCGTGCAAATCATCAGACATGATATGGTAATATGGTTAGCATTCTCCAATTTTAAGAACAGTGGCATCCGTTTACTGACACATTTCAGTTCAATCTACTGTTTGCAAGACAACCTAGTTGATTATCTGTTGGTATGTTAAGATATGCAGACAAGTTATCTGTATGGCACGTAAACTACGGTAGAATCTATATTCACATGCTTCTTTTGATGCACTTTATGTGCTGGAAGACAAAGAAACATAGTAATTCTCTTCCAGAAAAGAAGATAAAAAGTACCAGAAGCAGTCAATAACCATTCCACCAAGTAGTCTTTATGTATCTTTGCAGTTAAGATCTTTACGCTCATATATACAGTTAACATAATGATTTGAAGAAATTCACCGTCTTTTTTTACTGCAAGAATTCACTGTCTTTGTTATACTTATACCAGACTTGCCTAATTGCCTGGGGCGCTTCACACCAAAGAATGGCTGGGGACATATGAAAAAAGGAGCAGCAAGCGGTTCAATCTCCCAGATTGAAACTCTGTTCCTTCTTTCTCCTGCAGCCGACTCGTCCCACCCAACCTATCAGAGAAAATCAAATCAGTGAATCAGAAAGACAAATGGAGAAAGAATAACACAGTGAAAGAGCTGCAATTAGGATGGTGCTTGTAAATCCAACCTGTAAGCTGCGCCACTGGGAGTTTTTCCATCTCACTGGATCTAGATCACTTATTCCAGTTATCGTACCCATGTACCTGAAAAGTATTAGATATGTCAGCACTACTTGGAGCTTCAGAGGTAAGAGTTTGTATGGGTAACTTGACATACCGTCTTGTCCCTAGTTCCTCCGTCTCGCACATCATGCGGAAGCGCATCCCTAAAGAGATCTGACTACTGTACA